AGCAAAGTCAAGAATCGGGCACCGCGTCTACAGTGGAAACCATGATGAATACGATATATAACCATGACGGTAAAGCGCAACCGAGCGAAGTGGAGGGTGAACATCCTGCGACAAGGGAGGTACTGGTAACTAAAAAGTATAAACCAGTCGCACAGAAAATCCGACCCGTCTTTCAGGACCTACCAGATAAATTTCGAATTATTCGGGATATAAAAGGCGATCCAATGGACACCTTGCCAAAGCTGAATAGAAACCCACCAAAATTCACACCCACGGGACGCTATACTGAAGAGCGAAGAGAGCAATTTGACAAAGTTCATGACGGCGATTTCTTGTGGCCAGAGGAGCGCAAACTACTACATCATTTTATGATGGAAAACAACGAAGCCTTTGCTTGGGATGATAGTGAGAGGGGGAGCTTCAAAACAGAATACTTCCCACCCGTAGACATTCCAATAATTCCACATACGCCGTGGGTTTTGAAAAATATTCCAATACCTCCTGGACTTTATCAAGAAGTGTGCAGAATTATTAAGACCAAATTGGATGCTGGGGTATATGAACCCTCAAATTCTTCTTATAGGTCAAGATGGTTTTGTGTATTAAAGAAAGATGGAAAAAGTTTGAGGCTTGTACATAGCCTGGAACCTTTAAATGCAGTGACTATAGCGCATTCAGGGTTACCACCGGCAACCGATGCACTTGCTACGCATTTCGCTGGTCGTGCTTGTGGAGGAATGTTTGATTTATACGTAGGATATGATGAAAGGCTCTTGGCAGAAACTTCCAGGGATCTGACTACATTTCAAACACCTTTTGGAGCTTTAAGGCTTGTCACTCTACCCATGGGTTGGACAAATTCCGTTCCAATTTTCCATGATGATGTTACGTATATTTTACAAGAAGAAATTCCTGAAGTAACTGTACCATATATTGATGATGTGCCTGTCAGAGGGCCTGCAACAAGGTATGAGTTGCCAGATGGAAAATATGAGACTATACCTGAAAATAGCGGTATAAGAAGGTTCATAATGGAACACTTCGAAAATGCTAACAGGGTAGTTCATAGGATGAAATATGCTGGAGGAACCTTTTCGGGATTTAAGTCGGTAATTTGTGCGGCTGAAATAACAGTAGTAGGCCACCTATGCACTTATGAAGGCAGAAAACCGGAAACTGAAAGAATGAAAGTTATAGATCTTTGGGGACCTTGTAAAGACCTACATGATGT